TCAGATAAAGCTATCCCATTTTGCCAAGAATTTTAAGAAAATAGAATTCCCTAGCCGCTTTCAAACCAAACTGTTTGTGGAAGAAGAGGAATGCAGCAGGGGAAAAAAAAAAAAGATGCAAAGCCAGCCATTATTTACTTCTGATTCCTTTTCTTATGAAGTTAGAAAATTAACTAATCACAGAAAGAAGACATTATGAACAGAAGACACTGCCTGATTGCAGGGTTGATTTGGCAAGGCAAGAAACAAATTCCTCGCCTTGCCGAGCAGTCCCGACTCGCCAGTGAAATGGCTTCAAGCTACAGCACAACTGAAAGTGTGCCTGAGGATGTAGAGTTTTCAAAAAAGAAAAGAGGCACTTCTAAATTATTTTATTAAATTGTTACGCAAGCAGCTAACACCTTCAAGTACTATATTTTCTCCTATTAAGTCACAGTTAATTACGCATGCCTTTAAAGTCACCACCACCTACTTTAAAGCACCTCCTTTCTAGAAGTACTGATGGGCTCCTCAAAAATCGCATAGATTTATTCGGAAAGCAGTTTCCAAAAGTTAACTTTCTAAGTTTCAAAAGCTAGCGGGATAAATGGAAAAGGAGGGGGGATGGCTGCTGTGGTGTTTAAGAGGTGATAACAGGAGGTAGGTAGTATTTGTTCACATCTTCACCTTTGTTGATAATGTATGCAGTGGCTCATCGGACGTATTTAATGTTAATTTATTCAAGCACACCTGTACAGGGCTGGAAGTCAGGTAACTAGATAAGCAAGTCGCATGCTTCCGCTTTCTTGATCTAACTACCCAGAGGCCTATATCCACACAAATTTAGTTCTGGAAACATCAGCAGATTTTAATAAACCCAATCCAGATGTCTTTCTCCATACAAATCAAGGAGTTTACAAGTTTAAATCTGGACTGATTTAACTAGCAACCTAATGGCAGAATCACACTTGGCACCAATAGTTGCCTCATATTTATTTATAAGTCACCCTGAGCAAATATTATTTTGTTTTTAAATTTATTCAGGGGGCTGAATCACCTTTCCCACCTTGCAGACAAACACACATGCTTTTTGTTCTGTGAAAATTTAAAGAGAAATGTTAACAATTAGCATCCTTTACTCAGAGAGGCAATGCATCAAGTTCCTTCCTTTGTAACTTGAAGCAGTTAACCGTGGTAGTGCAGATGTATTTATTTTACAGGAATCCGGGAACTGAAAAAGTGAAGTACCATGTCTGACCGTGCAGAAGTCGTGACCTAGACGCAAGTAACAAGGAAGACTTACACTGCCAATTGCTGATAGCATTAGAAAATGGATATTAAATTATTGGCACGTTTCATAACGATTAATATGAAAGATGAACGTTTCTTCAATGTTTAAATATCTGAGAACCCCCTTGTAGGCAACTAGCTCTAAATAGTTGCAAAGTCTATGGCCATCCTAATCTCAAATAGGCCATTGACAAACTATATCGCCTACCCATTACTTATCCAAGGCTTCTCTGAAGCTGAAGTTCAAGATTTCCTTGGAAGACGCCAATTTAAGTAAGACCCTGTGTTTTTATTAAGGAGCCCTTGGGGTCATAATGAAAATCATGTTATCCATATGACAAGTGGGTAAACAAGAATGGCTAGAATCAAAGCCAGTTATCAAATTCTGCCATTCTGAATGTTCAGGTCCATAGTTGTTAAAGCATATTGAACAGGAGAGGAGGCCGTATGCCTTGAAGAATAAATAAGACGTTAGTGCAAAAAGTATAATCAGTGTTTAACATTTAAGTCTCTTTTTATTATTTTTAATGTGATATTTAAAAAAATAACTCTGCATGGTCACAAGCTTATTCTTAGTGATAACTGTCCTCTTTTTCTATTAAGAATTTATTTGTTGAAAGATTACATTATATTTTCATAAATATGGTTATGCACCATTGAAAAAAGGTGCAATTACTACTACAGAATAGTAATAGTATAGTATGTTGGATTTAATGGTAAATACAGTAAATAGTATCTTAGATTGAATGATAAGATTTGACATTCTTCTGTACAAATTACATTGGAAGTGTCACACTTCTGTTACAATATGTTAGAATGGTTTCAACTAGGTTCTAACGCCTGTTAAGATGATTTAAGTTCACTCCCTTTCAATTATTATTCCTCTACTTATTTGGTAATGAAGTAAGACGCTGTATGTTCAAAGCTTCCTTTGTTTGCTAAAAGACCAGACAGGTCATAAGATTTTTCTCAGAAAGTTAAGAAAAAAAATCTTACCTCATAGAAAAGATCATTAAGCTAAATAATACTTCAAAGTCCCATTTAGAATCAATAACAAGTTTAATGTTGAACTGAAGAATTATTAAAGAAACATTAATTCTTAACCTCAAATGCATTTATATATTCTTAGGTAGAATTTTCAAAATTCATTGTGTTGCAACCATGTGTAAGATCACCACTAAATTCCAAAGTAACTCCCAATTATGGTTAACATCAAGGCTGTGAAACAATACATTAAAAAATAAGTGTGCTTATGATTTATTTCTTAAGTGTATGCAAAAGCTACCAGTGTTTTTGCTAAATTGACTAGATTTTTGAAATTTATATTGTCACAATTTAAATTGTGAAAATCTTTTATTAGTTAAAAAAAAGTAAGCATTATTTTTTATTCTTAATAAAATTTAATTTAAATTTAAATTTAATTTTATTCTTAATGCATAACATAGTTTACATGTCTGAAGTTCACTTATCACTATAATTTTAGAAATCCAGAGCATCTGTTAGAATGGAAGCTACGGCCTATATCTATGTACTGTAACTGAGAGAAAAATAAAATTTTGTATTTTAGAATATGGTAATTCTGATTTCAGAGAGAGTAACATCATAGGTTTAACTATGCCTTTACATAGCTAACGAGTACATCTCACCGAATTTATTGGAATTTACTTCCAAGTAAAGAAAGATCATGACCTAAAAACTGGCTTTACTTCACACAAGGGGTCTAGTATATTGAAAGGATTAACTTTTAAATGATCACTTATTTTTCATGTTTACTTCAAAATTCTTTGCAAACTCCTGGCCCTTTAAAACATACATATACACTACTTCCCCCAAAACAGCAGGCTATTTCCCACTGGCAGAGTCTAATCAGGAATCCATTTCATAGTTTTTTGAATCCTGGCCATTTTTAATATTTTGCTATTAGTTTTAAATATTAAACAGTTGTAAATGTAGTTTGCTACAGTTCAGATAATCACCTAAAATGAGGGATGTCCAATTTTTGCACTGTAAGAATTCTGTTGTTTTGGGATGAATGTCAAGGGCGCCATGCAAATAATTGCCCAATGAAATAAAGATTTTTCTTTTTTGCTCATCCATTGTTGAAAGCTGGAGGGTGGTGGCTGGCCATACTTCAGTTCCACCTGTTCAGTCTATCTCCTTCCCTTCTCTCCCTCTGGCCTTGCAAGATAGAACAGCATGCAGACTAGCCAAAGCTAATTAAAAGAAACTAGGATTAAACTGTAAGAAGTGTGGGAATTCCCTGAAAAGCATAATGTGGGTGAAAAAGAAAACTGTAGCTGAAATGTGGTGAGGGAAGATCAGAAACACATTTTTTATTATCAGTTGCCACTAAATAATTTAAACCAATTTCACTTAGCAAGACATAGGAACTGATTGCGGTCCAACAGATTATAAAGCAGTTTCTTTTTCTTGTGGCATACCGGTATTGTGTGAACAGCAACTGATTATGCTCCAGTATTAATTAACATTCTCTGAGCAGCATTATTGTTTTTTTAATGTTATATTTATATGTATGCATGAATACGTGTTGCATATTTGCTGTATGTATAAGTTTATGTGTGTATAAATCCATAAGTATAGAAAAGCTGTGTTAGCCTGCCACTGACCCACTTTGGCAAATTCCATTTACCTTACTTTTTTGGAATAAAAAAGGAACTAAACTATTTAGAGCCAGCTGCTTCTGTTTAAACTAAACTATTTCAGACTTGATGTAGCATAACTGTTATGTGATATCATCTAAATGTCCAGCAGAAGAAAAGGTCCTTATTAATTTTAAAAATATGTCTGAGTTCCTCTTTGTTTATGTGTAGGTAGTGCTCAGCTGAATGAATTGGGATTTACATACCTTACAGGGTATACTGTATTCACACCTGTATGAATAAAAGACTCTACATCAAATTGCTTCTTTCATTCATTTAATGGGGTTTGTCCAAATCTACAAGCCTGCATTTCATCATCATCATTATCATGCATGTTGATTATTAATAAGATGCTTCACAGGTACCCTCCTGAAATGCTAAAAATCTATCATCAGTGGTCTCTACTTGTTTTGGCTTAGGTTTTAAGAGTTTTCATGCCACTGTTCAAAATTGAAATAGCAACTTTCAAATACTTGAGCAAAGAAAAAAAATGAATTTAACAGTACTATCTGTGTACACAGGAATATGTATGCATTTCTGTCTACTGTCTCTTCATCGATTCAACATATTTACATTCTCCTACGCATGAACGGTCTATATGGAATATAGAAATAATCACCCTGAGAAATGGGAGCTTTGTTTACAAATTGAAAGAACAGTTAATTAAGATACACAGAAAAGCAGTGAAGAACCTACAGTCCTATTATATTTGCACTTCTATTTCATTATATAATGTGATGGTTCAGTGTTTGCATACAGATCTAGAGATCAAGAAAAGCAAGAAACAAAGCTAATGAAAGATTTCTTGGTTTGAGGAAAGGCAACGTGGTATCCTTTAGTTATTTTTGTATGACAACTCCCGTTATCACTGCCCACTGATATGCGGATTGGGAATTATAATAAAAATATCTAGGGGCTACCAGGTTGCTTACCTAGTCTTATATTAAAGGAATATGCCGTCCATATAATTTAAATATATTCAGTATAAAGCCTACGTTTGACTTGCTTAAGCTTTGGCTTAAGAAAAAGACAGCTGCAGAAAATCAGTTAATAAATTCAATATTTACTAACCTGTCTCTGCTTCTTCGGGAGGGGAAAGCAGCATTGCAGCCAGCCACTGTGCAGACATGCATCTCTTTTAAGTGAACATTCCTATAATGGAGTTTCACGCTGTAGGAACTCTTGAAACTCTTCTTGCACACATAGCAGATCTTGGGATCTGGACTCGAGCACAAATCGCCTTCTGGAGAGAATTTCTGGGGGCTGTTATAACTGAATGATGAAGCGAAGCTTTCATGGAGAGCAGCCATGCTGGCACTGCCTCCATTATAAAGTCCGTATTGGCTCATGTAAAACATCTCATATGTAGGGTCTGTAAACTCTTCCTTGACTTTAATTTCACCGGGATGGGAAGCATCATTGTGGTTTTCATCCGGTCTTTCATGGTTCATCATAGACTTGCTACTTCTTTCATGGATCATGTGTTCATCCCCTTCCATGGATTCCTCACACAGTTTTGGCTCTGAGGATTCAGATTCATTTTCATAGTCCCTCTCGTGCTCTTGGTCATCTGATGTCATACTATCTGTCCTTCTTAGCTCTGTCCTTGAAATGCACCTGCTTTGCCCATTTTTTGAGAAGTCCTTCACAGACAACCCTGGGCTCATCTCCTCCTGAGAATGGCAATGATTGTCATGACCACCATCATGAGTTATGCTTCTGTTATCATTAATTTCTTCATCTTCGTAATCAAACTCATCGGCTGTGTCAATGATTTCCTTCTCTATTTTGACAGGCATGCTTGACTTTCGTGGCTTTTTCTTAGGGGCGAGGTCAGCACTTGTTTCTTGGAGGGGCATGATGCCTGCGGGCAGTGTTGATTCTGAAGGGAGAGAAGACTGTTCCATTGTGCCAGTTACTGGCATCAATGGACTAGTTGGTAACGAGGTGGGAGGACTCACCATCTCCCCAGGTGTAAGTAAACTTCTGTAAAAAGGAGGAACTGGCTGTACAGTCTTTAAAGCGGGAAATACGAGGTGGCTAGGAAGAGGATTTTGTAACACAGGATCTAATGGTGGAGTGGTAAAACCCATCGGAGGTCGCCCTGGACTCGTTAATGTTAGATTCGATTTTGTACTTGCTATAACAGGAGTAGCAGCACCGGATGTAGCACGGATGAGATCCTTGTCTCGATTGTTTCTTAACATGGGCATATGAAGTCGGGGATTGGGGTTAGCACTGTGGCGGTTGCGACTTCTAAGGGAGCTGAAGACCATGTTGCAGCCTTCGATCGTACATCGATGTTTGATCTTAAGGTGGACTGCATTGTAGTGGATTTTCAGGGTCCCCTTGTCATAAAAGGTTTTCCCGCATGCGTTGCAAAAGACTCTTCCTTTCCGTGAGGCTGAGCCCATCCTTCGCATTCTATGAATCCTGAAAGAGCTCTTTGTATGTTCAGGTTTGGATAAATCACTGACAGGGGTCGAAGTCTGAACAGGGGAAACGGAAGTTGGTTCGCTTTTGGGCTCTACGTTGGTGATGCTGGTCAAGGCATTCCTGCTGGAGGTCTGCTCGTTCTTGAAAGGGGCTGGGGAAACATCAGATTCACTGCTTTCATTAAATTCATTCTGAGTTGAAAGGTTTGGCTCACGCAGTCTCAGCGTTGGCTGTTCCAGCAGGAGCCCATTCGGCGGCAAGCCCAGTAGTGGAGCGGAGACTGGATTTATGTATTGAAATGGTAGCAGGAATGCTAGGCTGTTTGGGATGTTTTCGAAATGATGAATGCTGGAAGGGTTGCTGTTCTCCAAGTGAGCAAGGAGACTTGGGCTCCTGGTTCGATTATTGCTTTCAATAAAAGTCCGTATGTCTGAGTCTGTCTTTGAAGATGGAACAGCAACGGCTTGCCCTTCTTTTTCTTGAATTGCCATCAGCTCCACAATGGATTTGGTTTCTCCAAACCTCAAAAACTGCTGAAGGGTAATAATCTCTTCTTCCCTGGACATGATGGCCCAGCGGTCCAGCACTTTGCCTGCAGCATCCTAGAGGCCATATCAAAGAAACAACAAAGACAAACACAAAAGAAGAAAACCTTATTGATTCTGCATAATTATCGATTTCGATTGAAAGTGCTGTTCTGACTGCTCATCAAACACTAAGCTCTGAATACTACATGCAAACACTTTGTTGAAAGCAAACTTTGCTACCAAGCAAACATAATAATTGAAGGAAAAGAAACATAGTGGTTTAATCATGTTAGAACAAACATTAGTGTAAACTTCTGGCTTTTGTGAACTGGGCTATTGTCAATAATAATCTCTTATGACCTAAACTAAGAGATCTTCTTTTAAACAATAAATGCTTATATACCATACAATTAACATTCATTAATAAGAGAAGGTAATCTGTCACTACGCATTGAATCTAAATGTCACGGACTGTACCTTCAATCCTTGTTAAACGGTATCACTACAGGAAATATTTGAAATATACATTTAGTGACATGCAGTTTATGTCTTTGATATGCAATTTGGAAGGTTTGCTTTTTTAAGCAAATTAATAAATATAATATATAGCTAGACATTATAATTGAAGTGGAAATTTAAAAAGACAACATAAAATATTAAGGAAAACTTTAATATATTTTTTCATCTTCTCAAGGAAGATTTAAAATTTAATTTTATAATAACCATTTTTTTAAAAAAAAAATGGCAAATTTTACTGTTTTTATTCATGGAATTGCTGTTCCTGTGTAAACTAAATTTGGTTAGAGTGAAAACATGATGACTTTTTACCACTTTTAATAAATAAAAGTACCAAGCATTTTTAAAAGTAAACATCTGATCACTGCGGATATCATAAATGTGTAAAAATGTGTTTTAATATTACCTTTTGATAGCAAAGGAAAAGTCCAGGGAGAATACACATCAGTAATCACCAGACTATCTGTTGTTAAATATACATTAAAAAGCATTTCACACTTTCATTTTTGCTAGTAAGTATGAGATTTGCCTCAAGGTAGATCTTAAAAATTCCACACTGTAATATCAGACCATCCTCTATAACAGTATGTATGTGTGAAAGCAAAAGACTGTTTAGATAATAAATATATTGTTTCTTGAGCAATTCTTCTAGTTAAGTTCATGCCAGCCATATTGCCAACTTTTATAATTTTGCTGGCAAGCCCTTTTCCTCAGCATAGAGCAATCAATAAATTGGTGACTTCCACAGATATGCCTGTCTAGCTCAACCTCCTTGTTTGTTATTTTGGTCTCTAAGTAGACTACCTTCCAAGAAGTTCAGAAAGATCCATAACTGCTACTCTCTATTAAACCATACAAAACAAGTTAGTGGAACATTATCAAATGATAATATATATACTGTATAAACAGTAGAGAGAGTTTCATTTCTTCAAGCCGACAATACATAATTATGAAATTCTGTTTAGTGACCATTCAAAGTTACAATGGCATTGAAAAATGTGATTTATGACCAGTTTTCATACTTATGTCCATTGCAGCATCCCCATAGTCACATTGGCAACCAGCATGTATTTATGACAGTTGCAGTGGCCTGGGGTCATATGATTACTAGGGGTAGCTATTCCCGCTGGATTCTGACTAGCAAAGTCAATAGGACAAGCCAGATTCACTTAACAACTACATTATTCACTTAAAATAAACAGGGCACAGCTCACTTAACAATTGTCTTGTTTAGCAACAGAAATGTTGTGCTCAATTGTGATTATAAGTTGAGTACTACCTAAAATATATAGTAGAAATAAATTCAAGGAAGGCAACTCTGTTGTTTCCTACTAGCCTGGAGAGCTAAAAGGAGAAGTTATGTACATTTATACCTATATGTAATCTTTACAGAGATACCAAGCTATCCAGTTACTAAAAGAAAATTGATTGATGGTCTAATCCAGCACAGCTCTATTTAAATTCCTGACCTACTTATGTTCTTACTTGAAATATAATTCTGATACCCATTTAATTAACTTAATGGGAAGGAGGAGAGGAGGAGGAGGAGGAGGAGAAGACGACGATGACGACGACGATGACGAAGGAGGAGGAGGAGGAGGAGGAGGAGGAGGAGGAGGAGGAGGAGGAGGAGAAGAAGAAGAAGAAGAAGAAGAAGAAGAAGAAGAAGAAGAAGAAGAAGAAGAAGAAGAAGAAGAAGAAGAAGAAGAAGAATTTGCTATGGATGTGGTACAGTGAATTGCAGTTTAGTTCAAATATAAGTAGGATCAAAGCCTTAGCTATCCCATTGCTGAACATAGATATTTCAAGATCCTGGAGCTCCTTATGAAATGTGTAAGTCCAGAAGACAGTTAGCTTGCACTTTCCATCAATTCAGCTTTTCCTCAAAATTCTACATTTTAATTGTTTACCTGGAAACATTAAAATGCTGCACTTGCTTCAAAGAAACCACAATGCTATAAAAATAAATTGATCACACATCTAAAAGGCGATATTGGTGAATAAATAGATACTCAACAAATACTTAAACCAGATATTGTTTTTTTTAAATCAACCAAGTAAATCCATGCTATTGCTATTTAATATTTCTCCAAATCAAACAAGCAACAGCTTTTTAAAAGCAATGATTAATTGAAAAAAAATTAGACCTGCCACTTTTCAAGATGACTTTTTCAGTACTTTTCCTCAGTTGTATCTCTTTTTTTGTTCCCATTTCATTGCAGAAAACTAGGTCAGAACATGTATGTTTTATATAATACTGTACATATGTGCTGTATTATAATCAAAGCAATGTTCACATAATGCTAACTGAATGAAAATTAGTAATGCATTACAATTTAGAAGTAGATAAGAAGGAATAGGAATATTTTAAGATTAAAGTTATAAGGAACCAAGGATCCCTTTGGAGTTTGTTACAACTAGCTGTGGATTCCTCAGTGTATTGTAATACTCAGCTTGAGGCTCATATCATGTCTTCCGTGTAACTCGTTTTGGCTTCTCTCATGACTTTCCCCAATGCCATTAAATTTTATCAACATTTACTTTTTTCGTTACAAAAGATTCCAATTTATATTATTTCAGTCAACTCATGACTGAATAGATAAACCTCTTGGGACAGTGCAGACACGAAATTCAAGGATCATTCATGCTGAGAAAGTCCATAAGATCTGCGTGCCATACATCTGCAGCAAATGATTCTGCTTCTCGGTTGTCTAAAATGACACAGTAGTTGCTCCATTTCTACACAATAGAATTGTGCTGTCTTCCAATTTTAGAAAGAAACGTCTAATTCAACTAAGATTAACATCTTCACAATGTATAGCTTTAAACCCACATATTATTTCTTTCTCTATAACAGCATAAATAAAAAATAGATCCACACATAAACATCGGAGGGAGGGAGGGAGGGAGGGAGGGAGGGAGGGAGAGAGAGAGAGAGAGAGAGAGATAGAGAGAGAGAGAGATAGATTCTTATTGGGTCACTGAAATAATGTCTAGTTAATCATCCTGCACATATCTTCTGGTTTTACCTGACCTAAAGGTGAGGATGAGATATGTCAGGATGGAAAGTCTCCTAACATGTAGGTCACCTAAGAATGAAGGATAACCTCAGGTTGATTATTATCAGAGATGATACAAATAGGGTTAGAAATGTTGACCTTTCACCCCAAGATCCAGTGTAATTTTCAGCACTTTAATTTAGAGAGGGAATATCCATGGACTGGGATGAAAATATAGGAGATATGATTTCCTGAGGGCTTCTGCTTCATAAATAAAGTTTTTGATACAACACGAACAAATTTATATCTTGTTTAAGAGACAAACACATTTCTAAGAAATATATGCTATTTTTTTGTTCTAAAAAAAAATCCTTGATTCCTTTTTTTTATTATCCTGAAATGAGAATATATTACATATTCTATATATTGTTAATGATTATATATCAATATTTGCAGATCTGCTATCCTTTCCCTAATTTGCTTTTTCAACATAGCTACTTAAAGCTAAATGTATATATCAATGTAACCAAATGTATATATCAATGTAGCCATATTGTGAATTCATTAAAAGGTAATTATGCAAAAACTTAATTTTTTTTTTTTAATTTATATACCGCCCTTCTCCCTGAGGACTCAGGGCGGTGTACAGCCAGAATTAAAAAACATGGAATACAAATATTAAAAAACAATTAAAATATATATAAATTTGGCCCAAGATTAAAAATACAAACCAATTAAAACATTTAAAATTTCTTCTTAAGCCAGCCCGGCTTGCTGGAAAAAGTGAGTTTTAAGGGCACGGCGGAAGGCACTAAGGTCTTGGATTCTCCTTATCTCTGGGGGCAACTGATTCCAGAGGGTAGGTGCCCCCACAGAGAAGGCCCTCCCCCTGGGGGTCACCAGCCTACATTGATTGGCTGATGGCACCCTGAGGAGGCCCTCTCTGTGGGAGCACACGGGACGATGGGAGGTCGTCGGTAGCAGCAGGCGATCTCGAAGAAATTAATCAAAAATATTTTAAGGACCCCTTCAAAGAAAAATTAGGGAGCACGTAGGGAATATTTTCTATTATTACTGTGATAGTATTATTGTTTCTGTGTCCCAAGGTCATGGGATCACCTTTTGCAAACTTTTGACAAGCAAAATCAATGGGGAAGCCAGATTCATTTAACAACCGTGTTACTATCTTATCAACTGCAGTGATTCACTTAGCAACTGTGGCCAAATTCCTCCTTTTGTTTTGTTTATTCCAGTACAAAAGTTGCTCTTAGTATTAGATTCTTGTTCTTAGATTAATAATGCTCACTGACATATTTGTAAAAACAATAAAGGCAGGATGCAAATAATAAATACCTTGTTCTTAGATTAATAAAGTTAAAGTTAAAAAACTCTAAATCGTCCTCTCTCTTCTAATGGCTTGCCCGAAAATCCTTATGCACTTCTTAGCTTTAATAAGAATACAATTATAGAAACATAGAATTGAGTTCTATAGCTGAATTCAAATTATTTTTTTCTCAACTTCAATTACTTTCTGATAAGGATCTACATAGATGCTGATTC